CTGCAGGGATGCTCGGCCAGGTCATACTGCAGGGATGCAGCGCTGCAGGGATGCTCGGCTGGGTGAAGCTGTGGTGGGACGGGGATGCGGGGCCCCAGCGCTGCTGGGATGTTTGGTGCCTGCAGGACCGCGAGGCTGCAGTGCAGCAGGGATGCTCAGCATCTGCAAGGCCCCAGCACTGCAGGGATGCTCAGCCGGGTGATACTGCAGGGATGCAGCGCTGCAGGGATGCTCGGCTGGGCGAAGCTGCGGTGGGACAGGGATGCGAGGCCAGCCCTGCAGGGATGCTCAGCACCTGCGTGGCCCCCGTGCGTCTGCACACATGGGGCACACAGCTCAGGGCGCTGCTGGTGGCTCTGTGGGRCCCCTGGGCTCCCCGACAGCCTCTGGTGCACGGCGCGTGCTCGCAGCACCGCTGCGCAGTGCATGCCTAAGCAGGCAGGGAGGTCATCCCCGCACAGCGCTGGGCTGAGGCTGCCAGMCTCAGCACCCCAGACATGCAGAGACAGAAGGGGAGGCTGGCAGGGAGACACTGGGTYGTGTCCCCAGCCTGGTGCCCGCGGGGACGGTGGGTGGCAGCGCGGAGAGGGCCGCGGCGGTGAGGGCAGCTCGGCGGCCGGTGCYGCTCGGCCAGCCCCGCTCGCCTCCGGAGCGCTCCCTGCCACCTCAGCCGCCGTCCACCAGGCCCGTGGAGCTGGGTGGACCGGTGGAGCTGCTGACCGCAGCGCTCGCAACAGCGGCAGGTACGAGAGGCCGTCCCGTGTGCCACGGACTCCCTCGCGCCCTGTGGCACAGCTGCCGTCTCTTGCTGCTCATTGCGACACGCGGCTACAGGCCTTGGTGCAAACGTAAAAAGTCCTCACAAGCGGTTCTTATAGAGGAGGGCATTTTCATGAAGTGAGCGGAGCCACCTGTACCCAGAGTGGGAAGGAGCGGCCGCGTCCYGAAGGCCGTGCGGAGCAGCCTTCGTGCGGCCAGGGACATCATTCCTTAGAGCACCCTGGAGCAGGAAGTGCTTGGAACGGCGGCGCGTGTGGCACGGGGCGGCAGGGTGGGCACAGAGCCTGCGGGGGCCAGAATGGGAGCCACAGGGCCATGCATGGCACCCACTGAACCCCCTGCGCTCGCCCCGGGCCGCCCGCCCCCTGCCCTGGCTTCATGGCGAGAGCTGAGGCTCCCTCCAGTGCCCGACCCCGGCGGCCCCCGCGCAGCCCCCTGGCCTCGGCCGCCCTTAGGTGCTCACTTGTCCTGGGGGAGAGGCTGCAATCCAGGCACGCAAGGGGTCCCGGCCAGCAGGAGCCTCTCCGGGCCAGGCTGCGGCGCCCGGCACCTTCGCTGGCTCTCGCCTTAGCACACGGCGAGCGCGCGGCTCGGGAGGGCCCGAGGCTCTGATGCACAAAGCGGGCAGTGGCCGGGGGCAGGCGGGGCTGCAGGGCGGCCTGGCAGCCCTGGGGCCATCGCTGCAAGCTTGCAGGCGAGCAGAAACCCRCAGAAAGGCCCCGCGCAAGCACTGGTGCTCTCCAAACCCTGACACGCGCCGCTCGCTTGGCCTCTGCCTATGCTCTTCCATGGGGTTTCCAGCAGGCCGGGTGTCCCAGGGGCTGTGCTGTCCCAGTGGCTGCAATTGCTGCGGCCCCCATGCGGCTCCGAGGCGCAGGCCCCAGCGGGAGCGCTGGGGGTGCCAGAGCGAGCGGAATGGGCTGTCACTGCCGAGGAAGAGCATCGGGGGCAAGAGGGCCTGGAGTGATGTGGCGGCTCCCGCCGGGGCTCGCGGAGCGGCCGGAGCGCGGGCTGGACTGGGGGGCTGCACAGGGTCCGCCCCGCCGGCACCAGCTCTGCCCGTTGCTCTGCGCCCGGTGGGCAGCGAGGCGGGCGGGCAGTGCGGAGCTCGCGGTGCTCGCTGCTCTTGCACGGCGCCGCGCGCTCCCTGCTCCGCCTGGGGGCTGTGCGCGGCCNGGCGCCGCGCGCTCCCTGCTCCGCCTGGGGGCTGTGCGCGGCCGCGTGGCCGGGGGGGCCGCCAGGCCGGCCCCGTGTCCTGCGGCGCCCCGCGCCGCGGCTCTGCACCAGCCGCGCTGCACCGCACTGCACTGCATTGCACTGCGCTGCGCCGCGCTGCGCTACACCGTGCGGCCGCCTCCTGCCCTGGAAAAGGAGCCGAGCCCGGAGCCCCCGCTGCCACCAGGCGTGCGCCGCGCTGCGCTGCTCTGCAGTGCCGCAGCCCRGTCCTGGCGCCGGCCCCGGCCCCGGCGCGCACACGGTTAAAGCGGCGGCGGCGGCACGGCCTGCTCGGCGCCAGCGCTGCAGCGGCCGCGGAGCTGCCGAGCGAGGCGGGCGCCGCTGCTGCAGTCCCGGCACGGGCTCCGTGCCCRGCACCGGCTCCCGCGCTGCCTCCTTGGCGCAGGGCGCGGGAGGGGACGGGGCACGAGCTGCAGCCCGGGCTCTGCCTGCAGCGCCCCCGACACCCYGCACCGGCCCCTCGCCCTGGCTGCCGACACCGCAGCGCGCCCGCCCTGCCTGCCCTCCCTCCCGGCTTTGCTTCCCCTGCTCCCTGTTCTCCTCTTCTCCTTGTTTCCCTTTCTTTCCTGCTACTGGCACCCGCTTGTTCCGCTCGCAGGCTTTGGGCTGCTGCAGCGCAAGGTAGGTGAGGGGTGTGGGGCCATGCGGAGCCCCTGGGTGCCCTTCTTGCAGAAAGCCCCTCACGCAGGCTGGGGTGCAAGGGGCCGGGCCCTGCGCTCTCCCCGCTGCCCGGGCCCTGCATGGCGGGATGGGGTCGGCATGTGCCCAGCGCCGGTGGCACGGGAGCTGTGCAGCAACGGGCRCTGTGCCTGGAGAGTCAGTGCCCAAGCCGCAGATGTCACCAAGTCTTGTGGCACATTTGGGCGGGGAAGGCTGTTTAGCAAGTGGCGATGCCGGGACTGCTGCTGTGCCAGGCTGTGCCATGCCAGGCCATACCAGTCCATACCAGGCCATACCAAGCCATGCTGGGCTGTGCCAGGCCGTGCCAGGCCATGCCAGGCTGTGTCAGACTGTGCCAGTGCCTGGGCCACCGCTCTGCACTGCTACAGCACTGTCCCAAGTGCCCGCTCTGGCTCCTTGGCCAGACCTGTCCCRGGAGGCTCCGCGCCCTGACACCCCACAGCGCAGGCCAGGGGTGCAGCCRGGTGCCCGCACAAGGCACTTCCAGTGGGCACACGGTGCTGCTCCCCGGCGCGCTGCCGAGATGTGCCCGCGGTGCCGGGCACGCCGGGCCCATCCGCCTCGCGAGGCGCCACACAGGAAGCACCGTCACTCGCCTGCTCCCGCGAACCCGCTATGATTCAGCTCTTCTTCCTCTTCCTCAGCCAGTGAGAGCGAGGAGGGACCCCGAGACCTGAGGCCGGCTCCATGTATCCGGAATCGACCACTGACTCCCCGGCCAGACTCTCACTGAGACAGACGGGCTCTCCAGGGATGATCTACAGGTAGAGTGACCACCCAGGCCAGTGCCCCGCACTGCCCAGTGCCTGCTGCCTGGCACCCCACAGTGCCCATTGCCCGCCGTGCCTAGCACCCCATGCTGCCYGGTGCCTCGCGCTGCCCGGTGCCTCGTGGTGCCCAGCATCCTGTGCTTCCCAGAGCCTCGTGCTGTCCAATGCCTCGTGCTGCCCGGTGCCTCCTCCCCGGCACCTCGTGCTGCCCAGTGCCTCGCGGTGCCCAGCACCCCGTGCTGCGTGGTCTTTCATGCTGCCCAGTATCTCGCACTGCCCGGTCCCTCATGCTGCCCAGTGTCTCATGCTACCCGGTGCCTCATGCTGCCCAGCACGCCGCGCTGCCCAGCGTGCTCAGTCTCTGCTGCTCCAGCGGGACTGCCCAGCAGCCTCATCCTGCCCGCAAGCGCGGCCACGCAGCAGCCATACTGCTGCTGCACCACACGTAACACAGACCCTCTGGTAGCCCCTGCACGCACCGGTGGGCAGAGCTGGTCCCGAGCGGGCCTGGGCGCCGCTGCCTCCTGTGCGCTCGGAGCGGCGTGCGGCGCTGCGGCCGTCGCAGGGAGCAGGGCGCGCGGGCGCTGCCCTCCCTTCCCCAGCCGGCGGTGCTGTGGGGCTTTGGTGGCGGCGCCGGGCTCGCCGCGCGGTGCTGCCCGCSGCTAACGTGCTCTGTGGCATCTCTCTCCTCTCTCCTTGCTGCCGGAAGCGCGAGGTATGGGAGCCCCAAGCGCCAGCTCCAGTTCTACAGGTAACCGGTTCCTCTCCTGCTCSTAAAGCGCCGTGGCGGAGCCCTGGTCCCCAGGGCCGCCTGTTGCGCGGCCGACACTGCGGGCTCCGTGTCACCGCGAGCTCTGTGTCACTGCTGCTGAGGAGATGGGCAGCGCTGGGAGGGCCGCACTGGCAGCCTGGCCACGTCACTGCCACGAGCTGCTGCCCTGGGGACAACCCTGTGTCATGCGGTGCTGCCCCCCCCCCGTTGTCCCTGCCTCGTGTGGTGCTGCCGCCCTGGCCGTGTCACGGCCACACCATCCGTGGTGCTCCCTCGTGCAGCACTGCTGCCCCGGGGACATCCCTGTGTCATGCGGTGCTGCCACCCTGGCCATGTCACCACCTCGAGAGGTTTTGCCTCACTTGCACAGTTGTGCCACTTGCCTGCGTGCTCCCTGCACACCTCACCATGTCCGTGGGCAAACCAGAGTGTCCGTGGGCAAACCAGAGCTATTACATTCCTCCGAAGCGCCGCACTGCGCCAGGCCCTGCACCTCTGGGCCTTCCTTTAAGGACCATCTCGTTAAGCTGGGCACAGGAGAGCTCGTTTTCTGTGTCCTCGGCTGTCTGCGGTGGAAGAGGCTCCTTCCCCACCGGTGTTTGTCCCCCCGCTGCTTGTGTCGCCGATACTGCGTCGAGCGCGGCTCTGCGCGCCTGCTGAGCGCGGCACCGCGGCCGTCTCCTCATGCTGGGCACTGTGTGCAGCTGCCTGTGCCTGGCACTGTGTCTGGATCCCCCTGCCCAGCTCCATGTCCAATTCCCCCTGCCTGGGCACCGTGTCCGGCTGCCCCTGCCCATCTCCGTGTCTGGGCACCCCTGCCCGGCCCCGGGAGCACCGGGCCTCATCACCCCGCCGCYTCCCCGTGCAGCCGCCTGCAAGGGCCCCGTTGTGCAAACGGCTGCGGCCGCTGCCCTTGGCCGCCCTTAGCGGGGGGAGCGACGCCAGCGTTCACAAAGTGGCTGCGCCTCCACAGGCTTTTAGAGAAGATGCGATGAATAATTTAACTTCTAGGGAGCAAAAGCCCTAATAGGGCTAATGGAAACGCCGCTAAAGCACTCGGCTCTGGAGGGACCCGGCGTATTCGCCAATTGCTTTGGACGCCGAGCGCCGACACTCCCCTAATGCGAAAGCGCCCGCTGGCCGCCTCTAAGAGCCATTCGAGGAAATAGTCTAACGTGAACTTTTCTGTTTAATGAGCAGGCTTGCGAGAAACCGGGTGAGTTTGCGGGGCTGCTGGCCACAGGCTGCCGAGCGCTGTGTGCGGCCGCGCGGGCCGCCAGYGCGGGGCGCCCAGGAGGCCGCCCACAGGCTGCGGGGCCGTCCCTGGGCGGGAGCGCGGCCCTTCCCCGGCCCCAGGTAAATGGGATCGGGGGCSACGGCGGAGCTGGAGCTGGCGGCTCTCGGCGGCAGCTGCATCCTGCGGGCGGGCTTGGTGGGCGCTACCCGGGGAGCTTGGCTGCCCCGGTGTCCCAGAAGCTGCAGCATTTGCAGCACTTGCATGGCTGGCTTGCGCGTGCGCGTCCCCGCTTTCTTCCTCCGTGGAAGGCAGGCAGCAAAACGCAAAGCGCTGAGTGCGCACGGGCGCCGGCGCTGCCTCGTGGGAAGCGGGAGGCTGCTGCTGGATCGATGGGCAGTGGTGCCGGGAGCCGCGTTTCCGCACGGGCTCTGGCGGCTGCAGCCTGCAGGACCCGCTCTGCTCGGCTGCTCGGTGCCGGTGCCGCGGGCTCCGCCATGGCGGCACCGTGAGCCCCCGCTCCGGCACGGCAGCCGTGTTGTGGCAGCAGCTCCTGCCGCTCCGGGCTGACATCCTGCTCTGCAGCCTGCTGCTTTGCTGCCCGCGGAGCAGCGCAAGGGCCCTACAGAGCCCTCCCCAAACCCTGTTTGCTGCAGGAATTCCTGGGAGAGGGGCAGCAGTTCCCGCTCCCTCAGTGGCTGTTGCTTTTCCTTGCACTGTGGTGCAGTGCTGTGCTGCGGTGCTGTGCTGCTGCAGTGCTGCGGTGCACTGCTGCTGCGGCGGCACTGCTGCACTGTGCTGCACTGTGGTGCTGCGCTGCTGCGCTGCATTGTGGTGCTTCGTTGCAGTGCTGTGGTGCTGTGCTGTGATGCTGCGCTGCAGTGCTGCATTGCGGTGCTGCAGTGCACCTTGGCTGGCGGCCCCGAGTGCAGCAGCGTGTGCGGTGCTCCCCTGGGACACGGCCCTGTGCTCTGCATGGGGCGGCACCGCGGGGCACTGCCCACCGCACTGCACTGCGGCTTGAGGTGGCACCGCGGCCCCGCTCGCAGCCAGCGAGCGTCCACCCTGCGCTCCCGCTGGAGCGAGGGCCAAGCCGCAGGACACGCAGGACTCGTGGGGAGACAGCCGCTGGCAGCAGCCGCGGCCTCCCGTCACGGCAGCCCCATGCCTGCATAGTGGGCACCCAGCCCAGACGTGGCTCCTCAACCCCTGCGGCTCCGCGTGGCGCCCGCTCGTTTCCCCTGGCCCCTTGGTGCCCGCTTGCGTCCACTGCTGCTCCCCGGCCGTTGTGGCTGCAGCAGCCCCGCAGCCAGCCCTGCAGCCGGCCCCACCGGGCGCCGCTCGCCCGGTGCGCGCTCAGTGCCCGCCGCCCGCAGGTGCCGCGCTCGGGCAGCAGGATGCTCTCCATGACGTACAGCGAGAGCCTGCGCAGCGTGGCCAGCCGGCCGCACGCCGAGTGGGGCGCGCAGCCGGCCCGCGCCGCCGACGCGCTCGAGCTGC